GGATGTACTTCCTCCTTCAATTAAGGATGTATAACCTGTCAAGGGAAATTCTGTGCAAATTCTACAGGGCTACGATTGAATCTATTCTGTGTTCATCCTTTACTGTTTGGTACAGCTTCAGAGAGTAGTTAGAGTGGCAGAACTTCCCTTCAGGTTCTGCATTTGTCCAGAGTCAAGAAACAGTTTGAATTGTTAATGACCCCTTACATCCTTCATTCAGTCTATTCAGACTTCTACCTTCTGTCTGTTACAGATTGGTTAACATGAGAACTGTCAGATTTCAGAATATTTATTTATTTTGAAGCTATAAACATTTTAAATACCATTTGACTTATACATTCATATTATCTTTATTTTTCATCTTGTGTAAAACCATAAGGTTATTATATTTAATCATTTTTGTTGTCTGCTAAGCATTGTATTTGGTACCTGCAACTACAGTGCATATGTGTGCCTCATACTGGTGACAATACTTGGCTAATAAAGTTGATTAAATTCTTGTGATTCCTAATATGGATTTCTTATTTTATATCAAATTGATTTTGAAAACTAAAATTAGAAATATCAGATGTTAAGTAATTTCATAATGGTACTTTGGAAAGTGAATTATTTTCTCTGATATATCAGCATCATTTCTGCTTTTTCATCTTATGTTTTCAGACTTGTTGCATTTATTCATTTTTATCAGTACTGCAATTTTCAAATAGGTAAAATTTTTGCCCACCAAATTCCATGACGTGACATAAAGCCCCATTGTTCTTCCTCTCTTCTCCAGCTTTCCTCATATCCTCCAGGTTCTTCATCCATTCATCTTTTCCCTCCTCCTTCAGTCTGGGAATCAAGAAATCCAGATGCTGAAGAGTGAAAGCGCTGTCTGATTTAAGTGCAATCTCTGACAGATTCATGACTGTCACATAAGTTTCATGAAGCAGTTTGGACTTTTCATTTGTAATCTTCTCAAGTTCGCTCTTCACTTTTTCTACTATTTTTATTTTATTCTGAGACTCTGTCATGTGACTTTTATGTTCCTTTGTAATGTTTTCAAAAATGTCTTTTTGAAAGCTGGTTTTAGGCTTTTCACCAGTGTGTTCATACTCCTGTTTCAGGTCAACAAATGTCAAAGTGATTGTCTTTGTCTTTGTCACATATTTTTTGTTCTCTCTAACATGTTTGCTGTAATGACACTTTCCTGTACACACAGTGCATTGATTGTTTTTCATGACTGAACACTTTGAAGGTTCTTCATCTGAGCAGTGCTCATGACAGTTTTCCTCACAGTCGGAGCAGCAGGTTGCATTTCTGTTCCACCACCATTCATTTTCAGTGGAGACGTTTTCTTTCACAGCTGTTTTGACTGTAAACGGAAAGTTTTCACATTTCTTAATTTTGTCTCTGTTCTTTATGATGGCTTCCTTAACCTTATTCAGTTCTTCAGTTTTTAACTCTTTCTCACTAATTTGCTCCTTCAGATAAGACACACAGGCCTCAAGTCGTCTTCGCTCGTTCAGAACATCTAATGTCATCACAACACTTTTTCTGTTCTTTTCAGCCAGGAGTGTGAAGAACTCATTCAAGTTTCTCTCTCCCATTTCCCATGATGATCTGAATGCATGTTCATACTGCTTGTCTCTTTGCTGTTTCTGCTGGTTATTGAATAAGAAGTGAACAGGTTTTTCTCTCTCATCTCTTCTGCAGGGTATTTCTGCTGTTTTAATGGCATTAAGAGCATCTGTTGGAGGTCCTGCATCTGAATATGTGAGTAGAAACACTATGTTCTCCTCTATATCTCTACCAAAGAGAGACAGAACTGAGTGAAAGATGTAAAACTCTTTTTCAGAGAGTCGATTCTGAGACGCCTTCATCACAAAACACACTGCATCAATATAATGAATCCCATCCTCATCTAAAAATAAACTCATCAGATACTCAGAAATCTCTCGGTCTTTCTCGTATCCTTCA